GCAACCTGTCATTGTAACATGGAATGGGCTAATGGACATAAAGATATTAAAAAAAACTTAGAATACCCAGTATAAAGAAAGTATTAGATATAACGAATTATAGTTTTAATAATGATAATATATTTACTATAATTTTAACAGACGTAATTACTAAGAAAATATTGTATACAGAGATAATAGGTTATGTAAATAAAAATGGTAGAGTATTATGTTTAAAAGAAGTGCATGATTTAATTTGTAAGGTCGAACATGATATTACATACTGTCACGATCCCGTGACAGATGTAATATTCACTAAATGTATTTTTAATTATATTATAAAGAAAATTACCCCAAAGAAATTATTTAAATTATGTAAAAAATAGAGGAAAAATAGTAAGAGTAAATAATAAATATAAATTATATATAATTGCAGATAAAAAAAAACGGAGAGGATGAGTGAGGGAATAGAAGCTAGAACAGTGAGAGCAAAAGAATTTCTAAGACATTTGAATGGATTTTTAAAAGGTGATAATCATGAAGAGAGGGGAACACATGAAAGAGGAAGTGAGGTAGAATTAGTGTTTCACAGAGCATATGATGAGAGCAAACAATCTTATGGTAGAGACATATAATACGTCAGAGTTGTTACATATATCGATATCAATAATGGGTTTCGCAAAAGATGTAATTGATCCACAAACGACGAATTTGATTTGTAATGATTTAAGTGATGTTATAGATGAATTAATAGAAAATGGAGTGTTATAAATAAAAATAAAAATAAAAATTAATAATAGTAGACAACAAAAAAGAAGAATAACTAAAATATATAATTATGTTTTATAATAAATATAATGATACGGGACATTAATTTAAGAATATAAAAAAAAAATGTAATAAATAACAATGAAAAAGAAAAAAAATGTGTATTTTATTATCATAAAGGAATGGGTAGTACTTAAGAATACTAAGTATTCACAAAAACAAATATTGTAAACTTAATATAAGAAATTGAAATTAAAATTATTATAAATGTATAACTAACATAATATGTTATATTATATTCATGGTAATAATGTAAACTTTATTTTGTATTCAAAAACATTATTAAGATAATGCATTTTTATATTGTAAAAAAAAATATATATATATGTATTAATATTGTTAATCATTTTGTATAAGATATATGAATCAAAATTGTAAAAAACTAATAATCTTGTAAAATTCCAAAAAATATGTAAAATGTCAAATATTGTATTAATTGTGAAAATATTGTATACCATATAATATCATGTAAAATGAAAATTAGGGCAGATTGTAAAAGATTTCTATCTGAGGACAGAAATCTTTCTTTTTGCGTGGAGGTGTTACGGACATACACATATTTCACAGACACGACGTCCTTCCAAAACGCGGGTGGAAACAAAAAACGACGACAGCACGGCCATGGTGACATATTGACTTGAGAGCAAAGCCTTCGTGGAGACCGGTTACCGATCTGTCAAAGGCGCAAAAAGTGGGCATCGTGTACGAACAGGGATATAACATTTAACAATGGCTACCTAAATTAGTGTAACATGTACTGTATAGTATACTGTGTATACAGTGCATACACGTATTATTTAACATTTTTTGTTAAAAAAAAAAAATACATCAAAATAAAGGTTAAAAACTGGTTCTAACCAGAACCTAAATTTTGAACTTTATGAAATAACGAAATTTAATCTAAACCCATAAAAAAATATTTTAAATACCCAAACCCTAACTAGAACCGTTAAAATCAGCCTCAGTCCCTGATTAGATACCTAATCATTTTTGAAATAACATCTTTATATTTATTCATAAGGCTGAGCAAGTTAATGATATTTTTTAGCTCAGTTAGTTAAGTTAATTAAGTTCAAGTTCAATTGAGTTAGTTCACCTGAGAATTACATCAATTAAGTTGAAAATTAAGTTAAAAATATTGTTAACTTAAATTCAATTAATAAGTTAATTACAAAAAAAAAAATTATTTACATTATGGGCTGATATAAGTGATATATATTAACAATTTACAACAGATCTTAATTCACTTCAATGATAATAAAAATTCATAAAAATCTTATTTAAGAATATTTTCTATTTAACCCTAATTAGTAGTGTAGAAAAGTATACATTTCTTTATTGGGATTGTTTGTCACTCAAATGATAGATTTATGGTAATTTATGTATGGTTTTATTTTATTTTTTTATTAATTTTTCATACAAATAACATTAAATATATTAAATATTCTAATAAATATTTAGTATTAAATGATATAAAGTATTTTTTTTAATGTTCAATAACAGTATGAAAACTAAAAATAATTACTGCAACTGAAAGTGTAACTATAAAAGTAGATATAAAGACAAAAAATGTATATAGTAGATACAAAACATTAAAATAAATATATAATATTATTAAACTTTATTAAAATCAAAATAGATAAAACAAGTACAATGGACAGGTTAATCAAAATACCTTTGAATTTCTTCTTCTCTTATTCAATAATATTTAATAATGTCATCGATTATGGAATAATTCTAATAATAATAGTATTCTATAATAAATGATAATATGTAATGATCCTATTTATGTAATATACGGTTACTTTTCATGACAATGGCAATATAATTCAACTTATTATCAAACGTGGTATTTTAGAAAAATATTATTCTGGTCTTGAAAATAAAAATTAACTTAATTAGGATAAATGAAAAAATAATACGTTAATTTCAAGTTAATCTGTAAGGAAATGAGTTAACTTAATTTACCAGTAATGAAATAAGTTAAGATAATAAATTTAATTAATAAATATCTAAATATTATATTATCTAATATATATATAGTTTTTTTTACATGATATATAAATATACAAATATATGTATATATTAATATTGTTATGTATGTTATGGTGTACCATGGTTGTTTTATACAATGCACTGACCCAACCACCCATTGATACAGGGTTAACAATAATTCGGTGACTTCTATATGTTTGGGAGACATGTACACGAACGGCCACCAGATGTTGTGAAGAAACGCATCCCTCGTAGTGTCGATATCCTCTGAAGGTTACACTGTCCGTCAATAGACTTACAGTATTAGCTATCGTATGTCCAGTTTGTCTTTAGTGGTCACGACACTTGGAAATACCACGAATTCGTTATTGTGCAGGTTTCTATGACAAACTCTGTCAATTATACAACGTTAGTGCGTTCTCCATCTCGCAGCTCCATATCGTCCTTAGGTTCAGTAGTTTCTGCAATTTGTGAAAACTAGTCCAGGTATGTCTTATATATTTACATTTTTTTCTGCCATTAAATAGCTCTAGATTTAAGGGTAAACACTTGGTTATTAATATTTATTTCTCATAAGAGGCACAATATCAATTCATGGCTTTTTCACTGACACGATTTCATCATTTACTAGAAAGTTTTTTAAACGGTGTTTTTAAATCTAATTTTTAACGATTAAAAATATACTCATATGATATTATTTTACATTTTTTCGGATATTTTTTTCGTATGATCATACATTTTAGCTAAAGATTAGTCGAAACCGTGAAACTAAAATAGTCAATTGAGTGTACATAAAATATATATATATATATATTATATGTATTTTTTTTTTTTTTTTGTAGACATAATAATATTATTTTCATTCGTTTTTTAAATCTTGTAACCCTCCATAAGATATATTCGATTCTATATTTAATATGAATTTAATTAATTATAAATTTTTATACTAAATATAGGATTCTAAGAGTTGAATATTACTAAAACAATATTATAATGTCTATAAATACTTTGGACTTTGCATCCATACTACTGGTACATATGTACAGGTATAATATCCCCCCCTCCGTGTCATGGTAATCGTAAGGGCATACGTGTATGTATGTCCGTAACAAGTATTAAAGTCCTGCATAAAAATAATAAAAAAATCAAATAAAACATTAATTTGTTAATCACAAAAGTTACGTGAATAAGTTAAAAAAAGCTTTTACTTATCTATTCATCACTAATATCAACGAGTTCACTTTTAAAATTAATAAAATTTCCCAATAAATCGTTATTCATATTATATTATACAATTATATTATTATCATGAATTATACACACCATAATAACGATTCATTGCTATTTGTGGGTTCACTGATAAGCTAAGTACTAAATAACTTTGAAGATGCTCAATAAAGGATAAAAATATATTTTTTTTAAATTTTACTTTTGAATGGAAAAAAAAAATAACAGTCGTGTAAAACAACAATATATTCTTGGCGGTGATCTATTAGCGACGCCTCAACCTCTTTTTCCTTTTTCTTCCTTTTTACCCACAACATTTTTTAAAAGATTAATATTAATTGTATTATTTTCTTATGCCTCTGCCATAATATAAATATTTAATTCTATATTTAAATCGTATTTTTTTTAAGAATGGAAGTCGTTCACAATTTTGTTGTTACATATATTAGTTTGTTCCCAAAAAAATGATTATTACAATTTGTTCAGTGTTAATAATGTAATAGTTTCATTATTGTTACACATTTCGTCAGCTCAAGGGTTAAAATTTTCCTTTTTTAAAAATTATGTAATGAATTTTAGAAAATAGTTCAAAATTTGAATAATGTAAGAAATATGATAGTTAATAAATCATCGAGGTACATATCAGTATAATTCAAATATTTTCTATTAAGTTGACGGGTGAGGAGTAGGATGGAAAAGAGAAGATCAAAAATCTTAATTATTATTCAACTAAATGTCAAAAACAACTTTTATTCAAGAAATATTATTAACAATAAAACATAATATCAAAACGATCGATACAAATTATCACATATCATTTAAACCATTACTTGTGTTGATTTGTTTTTACCGTAAATTCGATGTCATCGCATTCGTAAAAAAAAAAAATTGAAAAAAAAACTATTCAAGCCAAAAAAAAAAAAAATACAAATAAATTATTATACGAAAGCTTATTTATAGATTTTTTTTAATTTTCAAACCTTATAATGTTATCGGTTATATTTAAATACAAATATATATTTTCTCATACCTCGTTTTATAATACAGAATCATTTGGATACGATCCTATTTGAGCGTACATGTTACGTACATTATAACGCATTTGTTGTTCCTGATTATTGTTGTTGTTATTGTTAATATGGTTCGTATTCATATTATTCGTATTGTTCGGTATGTAACCGTGTTGATGGGGTACCGTTATCCCGGCGATAGCGACGGGAGACCGTCTCTGCTCCGAAGACAGTTCGTTAGACGTCGGTCCTACTGCAGCCATTTGTCTCTCCTGGTCCTGGAGCATGGTCCCGTCGTCATTGACCACCACGTCCATGTCCTCCTGGAAAACAGGAAAGTTTCCACCCTTCATCGTCTCCATAAGAGTGCCAATGAACGTGTCCTGCACTTTTTTATCGTCGGTGTTACCATCCACCTGTGGAAAATACGTGGATACGATCAAATACGGTTTTCAGATAGATCTATGGGTACTTCTATACATATATGGTTGGTAAAACGAAATATTCGCAAACAACGTGGTCAGTACAATACGTGCAGGGGTGGACTGGTCTGGTGGGACACCGGGACAAATCTCGGTGAATCGTTACAATAATAGATTAAATAGCCTGATAATATTTTAGAAATTAAAAATATAGTATGATGATATTTTAATCGACAGAATTGGGGAAACTATTGAAGTTTTGAAAAAAAACCTAATTATGTAAAAAAGGAATTTCTTTAAGAGTTAATTTTAATATATAGTTATTACATTAAAATGTGTACACTGTATCTATAAAAAAATATTTTATATATTATGCGTAATTTTATTTATCTACATAAAATGTTGAAAATATTTTTTAAAGTATAAAGGTTTTTATCATTGTTATTTTTTTTTTTTTTGCATACTTATGACCAAATCGTTGGTCCCCTGTTAATTTTTGGCCTGGCCAAAAAAATTCCGGGCCTGAAATATTAATCCAGTCTGCCCCTGAATACGTGAAAGTAAAAATTTTGTTTTCGAGACGGATTATTCTATTATTATAATTTATAAGCACGATTATAAGGTTCTGCGCAAGCGAAACACTGTTATTTGATTAATTATGTTCTGTTCATTATTGTTCTAACAAATGGACTAGTTGGAATTTTTTTTTTTTTGTATTCTCAACTATATTTGACTCATGATTATTCGGTTAATTTATTTATTATACATTCGTTTGATTAATTTAAAAAACTAATGATTTGGTTTAAAGTAAAAATATATCTTATATGTTTCTTATCAAATTCGAAAGAATGATAAAAAAAAAATATAAGAAATCCATGAAAGATAGTCATTAAATGCAACATAACAGTTATGCAAGCTTATTTTTTACATGATCTAGTTGATTATTAAAAACTCGTTATGAACTAAATCCAGTGACTAGCTTGTAACTCATAACTGAATCAGTTATAACTAAGCGTGGATTTCAATGCAAAATGTATTTATTTTTCTAAACGCAATGCACAGTTTGACAAAAATACGTTTCAAGTGGTGTAGATTCATATAATTCAATTTTTATTTTGCATTTTTTCGTATTTTTTGTCGTATTTACTTCTTTAATGCATTTTTAGTATTTTCAATACTTTTAAGGATATTATTTTCATATTTAAATTCATGTCTAATGGTTGAGCTGTGTGGTTGTGCTATACTTTATTTGTGCGTTATCTTTTTCTAATTAATTACATCGTTATATTGTGCGTTTATCTTTTTCTAATTTTTCTAATTTTCTTCATCATGACTGAAGTTGCTTGTAATATCTGTAATACACAATTCGCTGAACTGGATGTTTCAGTTAAATGAGATAGTTGTGCTTTATCTGCGCATTCTAAATGTACAAGACTTTCTGCTACTGAAGTTAAATGTCTTTCCTTAAAAAATAGGTCTCTTAAGTATTTTTGTGATAGTTGTGATCAAGGGCTTAAGGAACTAACTTTTTCTAAGGCATTTTAAGGTATTTTTTATGGTATTAAAATCCACACCCTAGTTATAACATATTTTTTTATTAGTTTACTATATTGACTTATAACTAATCGTTGTTAACGTTATTTTTTTATTTATCATAGATTGATATGATCAAATTACTATTATTTTAATTTTTCATTAAACCGCCCACGTTTGTTTATGACATTGAAAAATGTTCAATGTAGTGAAGCATGCATAGACTCTAAGATTTTCTATTTTATTTGAAAACTGTGTAATTAAAATAGTAGATAAAATATTTCATAAATGTTGTCTATTGCCATTTGATAAATAAATAATAATAATACATTCTCTTTATTTTAAATACGATTTCTCAATTCCGTGTATGAATAAAAAACCCTATTTGAGTAGTAGACATCCGTTTTTTTTTTTTTGGAATAATAATAGAATTGATATAAGACATTACAGCGTAATATAGTGAAATAACAATATGCTAATTACGCACCGGTTATTGGTTGAACTAATTAGGTTTTTCGAAAGTTCAAGACTCGATAACAGACTTAAGGTCAGTTGTGAGGCTTATAATTAATGGTTTTAAATAAAAACAATCCTATACCACTTTATATTTTATCGATTTTCAATTTCGTGATAACACCATACTTACTACAGCTAAGCGATTGTCTCGGTCCAGCGCCTTGAGCATCGGTAAAGTTAGTTCGCGGAAAACCTCCAAACGCCGGCGGAACGCCGACACGCTGTCATCCAGCCTTCCGCGACCTAACTGCAACTTTGAGCAATCCAACAGTATCAACATTGGTCGTTGAGCATACTATATACACAAACCAAATCAGAACACATCAAGCATAATATATATCACTGTTATTGACTGTAAAAGTCATAATATATACAATGTATACGTAAAAGTATACGTATATACGGTATAAAGTATAACAAGTATACGTATATTATGACTTTTATAGTTAATATAATATGTATAATAAGTATACTATACATATTATAATACTCATAAAAATAATCAATAATACCGAGTCAAAATATTTTTTTATCCTCTCAGTATTCAAAATCTATAATTTATTATAAATTACGACCATTTATTCGAAATAAAAATAAAATAAATAAACTTCTGTCCCTCTCCTTTCCCTACGCAGAAAAATCCTAAGGACAACCTTGATTTTGATATTTTTGTAAACAGTAGATAATAATATTATTGGAACTGATCAAACATAAGTAATATGGGTAATATATATAATATATATATATATTATATATTGGTAAATTAACCGACAATACCTTTTTTTCAAAATAGTTGAGCTGTCCAATATTCCTTGGATAACCATCAATTACGATACCCTCCGAATTTCTGTATTTTAACAGTTCTCTGTCTAATATTTCGTGCACGATTGACTGTAACAAAATAGATCCATGCATTATCATTACGGTAAATGATCACGTAGACGGGGCGCGTTAAGGATTTGAAAATTACCTCGTCGACGATTTGTCCACTGCTAATAGTGTCCTGCAGCTGTTCTTGAGACGTTGCTTGTGACCGCAGGAGCAGTCCCACGCTTATGTGTCCCCAACCGTTATTAGCCCTGAGTACTTTTTGGCACAATGAACTTTTATTGCTACCCGGACCGCCTACGGCACATTCGTAAATCATAGTTACGATCAGTGGCTTTGAGTGAAATTACAATTCAATGAACGATGGCCGAGACGCATTATTGCGAGACCCGCTAAATGTTCTGTGCTAGTAATATTACACGCAGTACGCGGCGCAACGTTTACATTACAATGTACGTGACGGGACGGGCAATGTACACTACATCCGTATCCTATTAGGGTTTTTTTTCAAAAGTATTCGGACATGGCAAATGTCGATGTTTGTCCAGATGATAATATATTATAACAAATTTGAACGCTAATAGTCGGAAAATGTATAAATGAAACCTTTCAAATGCATTTTTTTCTGTATAAAAATAATTTTATTAGTTGAAAAAGATTTCAAGGCCAGTTATGATCATAAGTATAATACAAATTCTTTGTAACAGTAAAGTCGATAGTGAATTTCAATTGAAACCGTAGCGGTAATTAACGAGTATTAAGTAAATTTTACTTCAAGTCGTCAATATGGTTAATAAAGCTCTATTAGCATGGTCTGATCTAGATCGATTCGGATCGAACCGGACTGAACTATAGTCCGGTCTTCTCAGTGGCGTATATAGGTTTTCATTTCGGAAGGAGCCGATTATGTATTTTTTAGGTGGAAGGAAAGGAGGAAGCACACTATTACGAAAAAAAATTACTTAAACACTATAAGATTTCTCGACTGACTTTACATCATCAGAGAAATAAGAAACTCAATTTTTTTAATGATTTATTATTTTTTAAAAGTATAAAAACTACATTGTAATAAACAAATGTTTTATTAGAGTCACTCAAAATTCACCACATATTTTCTTAAAAGAATAAACATATTTTATAAATATAAAATTTTAAATTATCGCATAAGCAACATTCTCAGTGACGCGACAAATTTTCGGAAACCCCTAGCATTAAGACATATCCATGATAAAAAATAACAATCTTTATCAATGGTGTTTTTAATTTCGGAGAGGGCCCCCCCCCTCGTCACCCCATAAATACGCCCCTGGGTCCTTTTGTCTAAAAGAAAAAAAATCAGTTCAGTCTGTCCGTCCTTTAAGTTCATTAAGATAATAATGGTCTTAATTTTAAACAACGATTTAATGATTTTACGTATATACATTACATAGTAAAATAATATATAATTAGTATACCCATTGCGAAAATTCGCAATAGATAATTTATTTATATAACAAAAAGTATAGGTGCATAAATTTAATTCATATAAATATAAATAGGTGCATATACCGAATCAATACATAAACACATTTTAATAATCAATAAATGAGTCTAATATCGAAAATTGAAAGACATCTTGAAATTACAGAGAGTGTAAAATATATGATCCGTAGCATTAGGATAGACTATGTATGAGAGGGTGTAATTGTAACATAAAATCATTTTACAGTGTTACTTTCCAGACAATATCAGCTAATATAAGTAATAATATTAGTATTGTTTGTAAATTGTTTGTTGGTATATAACTAGATAAAAGCCAATGAGAATGCAGTTTTTTTGGTAAAAATTGAAAGTAAAGATGATTGTGCATACACAACTTTCTTCAAACTCAATGAATTTAAGCATTTAATAGCTCAAAATAAAGAGCCTGATCCACTGAGTGTTCTTAGACTTGTGTCGACAGCCTACGTTAGTTATAACTCTAATTATAGAGGTCTAAGTGAAGGAAAATCTTGAAAAAATTAAATATAAAGTTGATTGTTCACGCATAACTTTCCTCAAACTTAACAAATTTAAGCAGAGTTAATAGCTCAAAAAAAAAGAACTTAATCCACTAAGTGTTCTTTGAGTGGAACGATCAAGATCCATTCATTAGAAGAGAAGCTATGAGAATTCGAATTGTTGCTTGAGTGAATGTTTTCTATAAGAAATGTACAGGGAAGAATCGCGTTGGTTAGGTTGTAGGTTGTTGTTGGTTGTAGTACATTCTTAAAAATGGATCCAAATAATGCAATACTTTACAAAAATACCCGGCTTAAGTATTATACTATGAAAAAACAAAAAATGTCAAATAAGAATAAAAATAAACTAAAAAGAAAAAGTACAAATCCAATTTATTTAGGTGAGTTTTAATAGATTTATTTTTTTTCTGAACTTCAGAAATAAGAAGTTCTATTTTTGAATCCATGTTTTTAAATAAATGTTCAGTTTTATAAATTAAAATACGCAAACAACTGAATTGAAGTATTCGAAAATAGTACTAGTCGCCCGCGTCAGAAACAAAAATATTTGTTTCGACGCGAGCGATAATATTTTAATCGCCCACCCGCCCGCTTGTTTAGCATTTAAATAGGACATTCCATAAATTAAATCTACTTTGAATTTTATCGCGTCGCCCGCCAACTCGCCTGCTCGTAAAATCACGTTCACCTAGGACGCACTGTAACTCGGTTACAAGTCAAGATAAGATATTATACTCTAGAAATCCAAAGCTTAATTATTGTATAGAATGCTAATAAAAACCAGTGATTTAGTGCTAAAAATATAAGTGGGTATACGCCAAATTCTATTAAAAATAAAATGTTCATACTAAAAATATGATGGGGGGGTTTTTTCCCCCCCCACCGTCATTAAGATTTCTTAAAAATATAATTTCTTAATCATCAATTATGAACTATACAATATTATTTATTTTTAATGAAATATAACTCAGTGCTCTATTATGATATACATAGTTTAAATGTTGTACATGAAAAATGTTACAGCCGTGTCACATATATTACAATTTACATTTTTATTCTTATTTATAGCAACTATAAATTATAAAATATTGCATAATAATTGCACTTATTGCAAAATAATTTTCAAGTAATTCTTAATACATGACAAATTAATATTAACGAAGATAATACAATACAATTCATATGAAACACCAGTATAAAATTGTAAACTGACAAATTTTAATATATTTTTAAAATAAATAAAGAAACTAAAAAGTGGTTATACGCATGTACACGACCGTGAATCCACGGATTTGGGTTTTTTTTATTTAGTATACACATATTCTGAAAAATAGAAATGGGTACACTTAATTAGATACACATAATTCAACTGAAATCGAGATAACCATTGCTATGGAATAGTTTGTCGAAGTAAATGTGAAAAACAATCGAATTTATCTGATAAAAATGTCTAAATAACCCAGAACACTATACCCGTTCCGATATCTAGGGACCGTCTTAGGAAGGGTTCATCCATTATATCGATTTAGTAATTTAGTATATACTTCCGGAATTCGAAATGTACTTACCTACAACGAAAATGACTCGTGGAAATCTCATTGGCCCCGGATCGTAACCGGTAGTTCGATCAGATTCCACTGGATCGTGGTTCTCGGTACCATCGTTCGGGTACTCGGTAAGGTTGTCGTTTGGATGAGCCGTGTCGGTTTTTGGTTGTTCAGTATCAGGGTTTGAGTGCACGTTGCCATTGGGTATAGCGATGGGCACCGGGTTCTTGTGGGCACTCAGTATTTGTAAGACCGAAGAACGAAAGTCGTTGTACACTTCGATCGGGCTCCGTTCGCCATTGATCTATGACACGTGACACGCATTTTTTTAAGCACCTAGCCACACGTGTAAGACGAAACGAAAAAGTGAAATAAAAATATTTATTTTCAATACTAACCGAAATGAGCATTCCTCTTTGGTCGTAAAAATCAGACACCGGCGTGACGTTTTTGTAAAAATTGTTTAGCTCCATCCGGGCTAAGCTCAACACTACGTGTCCTAATTTGGCACCGTAATCAATTTGGCGTTCTAGCACGTTTTGATTCCATGATATGAGAATAACTCCGTTTACGACTTTAATCTGTATGCATAAACGAGTCGGGTAAAATATATTACGTGTGTTCATTTAATGATTAAGTACAATATTGTGAACAATTAATTTGTACATTCTAAATGTATTTTGCAAACAATTGCAGATGGTAGGTATGTAGTTATATGTTTATTTTTTGCTAACTACATACAAATATCAATCAAGTCCGAGCATCAGCAGTCGCTTCTAATGACCGCGTTTTATAATTTATTGAATATTTGAATGCCGATTGCAATAACATAATCATTTATTTGCAAGTTTAAAAACAAAGAGGTGTAACCGTAAAGAGCCATTCCTTCCATGTCCTTTGTATATTTATAATGTATTATCAGAGTATATGGGTTGATTTGTTGATGATTAAATTTTATAGTAATATAGATTGCAAAGTTAAATTATTTACAATGTACAATGCATTTCGTTAAGAAAAATCACGTTTACGCTATATTTGGTCCCGAGTGTATTTATCGTAATAACTTAAATTCGAAAAATTATATGATTACATCAATAATATGTCTCATCTGAGATGAGAAAAAACCACCTAAGTTTTGTTTCGGACATTTCATACTATTTGACAACATTTTTACACCGGCTGTCAATCTGACGCAACCTCATTTGGTCGCCTCTTACGACTGGCTTAAGAACTGTGGAAGTATTCTGATCTCCTTCTACAGGGCGAATAAATTAGTAACTCAAGCAAATAAATCATATATTCATATATTTATACTAGGTAGTATAATTTATAACAATCGGTGATGTTTTTTCATTAAATTGTTCAAAATTATACTAAACTACTATGTACCTAGGTATATAATTTAAGTAATTTATCCTAATAACATGTATGTAATTAGATTTACATTATTATTTATAACATGTTTTTTCATTTTTATAATATCATAGAAATTAATACAGCTTTCCCTTTACACTCTCTCACCTTATGAGATCAATCTTACAATCTTCATGGGTGTTTATGTGTAGTTCATTCCATAATGTAGCATATCAACCCGTATTTGATTTTACAGTATTAATTTCTTAAATTATTAAATTACAATTTAAACTAAATATTATTTTCGATTTTAGTTAATTAAAAAAAAGAAAACAATTTTTACACCTAAATATTTTTTAATAATATTATATATGCTCTTAATGATTCAAAAAGAATTTCAAGTTTTATCGATTAGCATTGATGTAATTTTGAGGTAGCCCATCCTTACCATTTAGGAAATAACTGTACAATATGCTTAACCGACGCTTTATGTACTATAGTATATAATCCACTGCCATATTTATTATATTAAATGAGCAAAAACCGGTTTCGAACAACATACATAAAATATTAATCAGTATTTATTGGTGCTCTAACTCTACCAACATTATTGTAAACATACTTATTAAAATATGATAAACTCACAATAAATTATAAAACACTATGTATCCTTACCTTGTTTGTGTATTCCACTACATCACGCATACTTCTCGGAAATCCTGAGATTAAAAACGTTTTTGCCGCAGGAGACATTTTCAGTTCCAACATCAGTACTTCTGTGACCGTTTTACTGGAAAGTTTACTGAAGTCTTCCATATCTAAATATTCGCACGGAATTATATAATTAAAACGCTTTTACATTATTTAATTTAAATTATTTAGGATTAAGACAAAAATATTGTACAATTATGGTGATCAAGTTTCTGTTACTACACTCGTTATAAGCTTAATATTTTTAAGTTAGGTTACCATACCACGTTTATTGTTTTCTACCATAAGTCCCATCATTATAATAATCTGTTATAATCTGTCAATATAAACGCTAAATCTAATTTTTTATCAATCTTTTTAATCCCGGTTTTTTTTTTCATATTGAGTCAAAGACGAAAAGCTTATTTTACATTAAAAAATGTACACTATAGAAATAAATTATACTTGAAAACTAATTTTATTAAGACACGAGTTTATAATAAGGTTATTAAAGTAGAAACAGTTTGAAACGTTTGACTTTAAATAAAGCCAAACATTGATAAATATATCACATTATACCAAATTGTCAAATATTTTTTGTAAATACGTCAGCAAAATTTTATTTTTATTTTTTTTTAATTTATGTATTAACTGGATAGATAGAAAATATATTTCACTATACACGCTATAAATTAAAATGTCATCAAGAATGTTATTATACATATTGTAAAATTTGTAAAAAGATTTTCAAACCGAATAATTTAGATCTTCACGAAGAGTTACGAAGTGATACTTCGTAAGTGATAATCGGATAGTGTGGTAGCTGGTTCACCAGTTATGTGTTCAGGTCTACCCAACACGTATAATGTTAATAATATAGAGACATTAAAATTGCGCCTCGAGTTAAATCTGCGTCTAGGTATGAGAGATAGGTATAAAGTGAGAATAGGCATGGGGAATATCGGAACGTTAACAGGCAAAAATAGTGAAGTATTGAAGAGGAGGAAAGTTAATATTTTTTATGTTTAGGAAACTAAGTGGAAAGTAGAGAAAGAAAAAATAGGAGAAGACTTTAAAATAATATATTCAGGTAGGACTAGTACTAGGTAAGAATGTACAATGTTGTGACTAGTACCTCGTATCTTGTTATCAAACCGACAGGCAGTAATCTTATGAGTAGAGCGCGGATTTCTATGCAATCGCATATTTTTTCCTTTCAATATTTTTGGATTTTTGACAGTTATCTCCACAAATCATCATAATTTGAAGCTAATGGTGGATTTTTTTTTGCATATTTCTGCATATTTAGAGGTTATTGCATATTTTTGCATATTTTGGCAAAATTCAAAATTTATTGCATATTGAAGTGAAAATTTGAAAAAAAATGTATAAAATAATATTTTATCTATTAGAAAAATTAAAAATAAATTTCATAGTCACTAAATAATAATTTATATATATATATATATATTTAGATATAAAATAAATAATCGATTATCGACATACCACTTGCTTCAAATATGCCCCAATAACTTCGGTTGACATTGAGGGTTCGTTTTCAGTCTTTAAAAATATGTTAACCGATAAACGACATAGCCTCACAGAAGATATACTTGAAATGCATATGATTATTTATTTTAATAATAAATAAAATTTTAAAAATAAATTAAGTTCAGAAAATTCCCTAAATTTTTTTGTAATAAGTATTTAAGTAATTAATTTTTATAAGTTGAATTATAAATTTTAAATAAATAAAAAATTCTTGCATATTTTTTGCATATTTTCATGATTTTTACTGCATATTATATGGCATATTTCGATACTTTTAAGTGCATACAAATTCGCGCTCTACTTATGAGACATCGAAACACAGAACACATATTCACTAAGGACACTATAATATTGTACAATGTTAATATAATATAATATTATATTTACAAGTCACATAATATTGTACAATGTACGATATCATTATTTCTATTGTCTATTATTCTATCTATTCTGTGGTAATACTACTTATCATATTAAACAAACAATATAAACTGTGGTTATACGGTATACCAAAGTGTATCAAAACACTGCGTTATACTTATGTGGTGTTTCGGATACGCGGTCATACTACGGTAAACTCGTATACCATAAACTGACTACAAATTTTGGCGCAAATGATAGGTAATTGTTGTACCTTTGGCGCTTATGTCGTATAGCCCTTGGCGTTTATCATATTTTAATTTGCTTACTTGTACTTTTGCCACTAACGTAATTTACTAAAAAATTGTTTTAATACCATTAAAAATATATTAAGTGAAACATACGTACGTCATTAAGATAAATTCGTCAATTTAAACAAGTTTTTTATTAATAAATTTGAATAAAATGCATTATTATTTTAGGATTTATTATAATATTTTTAATTTTTTTTATTTTTAAAAATATTATTTTTAATAAAAATTAACAAAATATAACTCGTTCAATAAAATTAACAAAATATTAAATAATATTGGAATACAATAAAAAAAATATTTTTAATTTTAATAACAATTATAATTAAAAAACAACAAATCTTAAATATTATTATCTCATGTGATCCACGTTTTCTTAATCAAAATTGTTAGTTATTTTACTATCATCATCAATATAAAAATTAATAATTATTATCATGAATTATTTGGAGGTTTAAATCGTTATAAATCAGCTCTTAACTTTCCAGCTGTCACAATCATTAAAATTACATTGAACTTATCTGAAAATCGTTATCACTTACCACATTTTTTTTTCTTATTCATTAGATACCACTCATTTGTTTACATAAAAAATATAAAAATGTGCTGTATGCGACAAATTAAATTATTTTAAATGACAATATGGTGTATACAGTGGCGGATTAGGGGGCAGGCTAAAAGGCTTATAGCCTAGGGCGGCTTTTTGAGAGGGCAGTTTTTTTTTTATAGAATTAAGTGTGTAAAAACATTTTTTGTAGAAAAACCGATACTGATGACGACCACATGTTTTATTCACGTCTGTCTGACGACCTTCGATCAGAGACTGCAACTGAACCGAAAAGTACTGGTTCCAGAACCGGAACCTTAAGAAATTTTAAAAACCAGAACCGAACAGAAACCATTTTTTTATAAAACTAGTACCGGAAAAAAACCGAAACCTATCTACAAAATATAACGGTTTTTCTGTTAATTGCAGTATTAGCGTATTGATATACAAATTTTATTTTCAATTAATTTGCTACGAATTTTTTTTCTGGAAATAAAGGGCAGCAATAACCAGTGGCGTATTTTGAGATTTTTTTTGGGGGTGTCCTGACTCCTGGCAATACTTTATCTCAACAAATATTAACATAGTTTCATCACGAATTCATACCTGATTATAATACATCTTTATACCTAACATAAATGGTAATTTTTTAGTAAAAAAATCTTAGGATATCTACTTAAATTTTTAATTATTCAGCAAAAAATAAAATCGTCGTAGGTACTTCAAGTGTACTGTACGCTGTACACAGTATATACTTTATATCGTCGGCCTTTGCTATAGTAATTAGTTGACAATTACTTGTATTCGAAGAAAGATAATAAGGCGATAACCAATAATACGGCTCACCCGACATCACGAAACGATAATACAATTCTAAGAATTACGTAGTTCACGATTTACTGCGAAAGTTCAAATAATATTTTGCTAATGAATAGTACCTATTTTCTGGTATAAGATGAAACATACATTATTCAATTTTCAAAGCAGTTTTAAAATATTTCGTCATTCGTCAACAATATTTTGCAATACTTCAGTAATAAATAGAACTACAAAAAAATTGGGGGGGTTTTAACCCCAGGATACCACCCCTAAATACGCAACTGGCAATAACACTATAGTATTAATACCACGGTTTACAATAAATTATGTGTCTTCAGAAGTGGATCTAGACCTCAAATTGGGGGGGGGGGTCATTTTTTTGAAAGGACAAAAAGATAATATACAATATCAAAATAGTTAAAGTAAAATTATTAATTAAAATTAGAGCGTTATTAAAATATGAAATTGTTAATTTTTAAAATTAAATAACAAAGTTTAATCTTTTTTGTTTTATTTTTCTAAATTTAGAAATAATATTATCATCATTTATAAGTATATTCTTGGGAATATTGAGCAAAGCGATACCGGTGATACGTTCCTCTCCCATGTGTGAAAGTCCCCATGTCTTAAGGCGCCTGAGAGTAGAGAATGATCGCATATTTTCTAACAAGCTATTAGAACCTATATTAACGATGAGCGATGCCATAGCAAATATATGGTATAATATTATTTAGACATACGGGTAACGGATTGACAATAATCTTATCTAAGATAAATTATCTTTCCGGTTTAGCACTAAAATATTTCCGCAGATTTACTATTATATTTATATTTATTCGCCAACAATATTATGCCGGGTTTATACGATGCGTAGTACTTGTCACTCGCACTCGCACATTGTGTGTAAACAGAAAAAATAGTGCTTAGTATTAGTAAAACCGGGAGTGCAAGTGAATAGAACGCCGTTCTATTTACTAACGACAAGTAGCTACCCCCTCCACAACTCTGCTCTACTCGCGGTTGCACTTGCAACGTATGACCACTTAATGATATATAATACTATAGTGTATTAGTGCTTAGTAATATTTGTGTTATCACGTGTACGGCGCATGTGAATTGTGATAATTCTTAATTCAACTTTTAGTTCATCTATGATTGATGAAATTATTATGCTTGAATTATATTTCAAACTTTGCTATACGATACGACAACGGTTCATTATATACTTCTTCACGACTTAATTGATCTTGACGGTTAATTTTTTATATTATAATAATTAATAATATATTATTTACTTCTAATCACTATTTTAGGAATTATAATCTTATTTACTATTAATTTTATAATTTAATATAGGTATATAATATATTTAATATTATTATCATTGATTATCCTATTATGTTACTATCTACTAATATCGTGTAAACCTGGCATTAGTCAATATCAGTATAATTAATAATATCAGTCAGTTTATAATCACTATTAATATTCTTAGAAGTTAAAAGGAAATTATGATTTTATGAACAAGTTGTGATGTAGT